ACTTAAACAAATGTGTCTTCAGAGAATTTTTAAAAACAGACACCGATGGAGACTTTGGTATTTCTAGCGGTGAATTGTTCCACAGTCTTGGTGCAGCGACAAAAAAGCATTGTTTCCATACGTTTTAAGATTGCTATTAGGTATAGATAAAAGTTCTTTGCTAGTGGAACGTAATGATCTAGAGTAATCCCACCCCTCCCCTCCAAGGCTCTTCATCGAACTCCGTAAAATGACAATGGTTTTGGCCTTATCCCTTGGGTATCGGTCACTAAAAAATGACATTTGTTTATGTTTTGACCTGCGTTTAAGTTGTCAAGCCATGCGTATAGACTCTTGGAACTGAAACTCCTAAACAATGCGAGACATCTGAATCAGAATCTCAGCCAGGTGAACTTTGCGAAGTTTTAATTTTACTTATCCAAAGGTTAATAATCTTTATGGCTCATAAACATTCACATAGCACTTTTTGATTTTCTTATCACTTAATAACACTGTTGTCACGCTATTTTTCTATTGATATTTGTATTAGAACAATGTTATAATAGTTTCGGAGTGACGCAGTTCCGTAACTAGTGACATCATCATCACCATGCTAGATTTGAAGCATTTTCTTTACAAATTTGTGCAGAGACTGTTGATTTAGCCATTGTCGGTTAGACACCATCCAAACATTGGGTCTATTTGAACTAATGGATTGCAAAATTCTTTCCCGAATATTCTACGGCTTGTTTTGAATTGAAATACTGAAAAGCAAGAAGAACTTGAGCAACAGACAGACAGAGGAATGATCCAATGATACACAGTGCATGGACTATGGAAACTTCAACCAAATCCTAGACAGAAAACTAACAAACTTTACCAAAAAGGTCACGGAATGAATTTCTTCGAATAATTTCCAAAATTGCTTGAAAATAAGTGGAAGACGCCTCCGCTAAAGTTTGGCAATAACATTGCAAATTAAGAAAGCATCAATTCTTCATTAAGTCAACAAGTTGGTTAATAAGGCTTTGATTAAAGTTTAGGGTAGATAATCTTTTCCGGATTAGCAAGCAGCCGAAGTTATATAATTCTGTGTTCTATCCAAAGGACCATCACGCTAGTGGAACTGACCGAAAGATTATTCTGAAACCTTTACATTTTGCAGAACGTTTGACGAGAATATGAAGAAGTTTGAACTTGCCATGCAAACCGGTTTGGTACCTAAACCTAGTGATACAGGAAAGGATATCACCTTACGAAATGCGAGTGAACACAAGAGGCTGGAAGGACACTTGAAGCATTTGGACCATCAACTTCGTAGCAAACTTGTAAGCATGCAGGCAGAAATTATGGAGCTTAAGGCATCGCAGTATGGACTGGTGAAGAAGGAAAAGAAACGCTCTCTAAGATTGCTGGAAAGTCGAGATAGAGCTAATAGTGAAGGTCGACTACATCAGCGTAGAGGAAGACCCAGGACACTCACAACTGACCAGTTGCCCAACGGTCCTTCAGTCCACATGTCTACGACTAATATACCAGACCAAAAGGCGGACAGCCAAAATGAGCTCGTTTTACCTGAGATCAACATAAAACAAAGTAGTCTGGTTGGTAATACGACTAGGTCGTCCGCAAGCGACCGTAATTCTTTCCCGTCTGACTCTTCCAAGAAGAAAAAGAAGCATGGAGGTCTTTCACCGGTTGATAATGATCTGCTTAACATTCCTTCGCCGTCGTCCATTTACAGACCAAATTCGCTGCCAGATTTGAGTCGGTTAGGGTCTAACAGCCAYGGCGTGGGAGGCGTTTCTCCACGGTCTGCGAGAAGAGTTAAATTCACTTTACCAGTGTCAAAACCAGGGCAAAGTGACAATGCCATGTCCACTGACAATTACAAAGAACCTGTGAAAGAAAATGCAGCTCCCTCTGAGCCACAAAATACACTTGCTGAACGGATAAATGACTTTATTAATCAAAAAGAAACAACAACAGAAAATCTTGAATCACCAGCAATAGAAGTAACAGAAGTCGGGGGAAATGACACACAAGATGCTAACACGAATGTCAATGAAAATGATGTATTTTATAATTCAATGCTTGCAAAGGCAAGCATGGAAAATGGTCTAGAAAGCGCGCCGGACCTAGCAAGCCTTGGTTTCATGGACTTCAATGATGTTATTGATAAAAGACTCAAACAGACTCAAGAAGAACTGCCAAGTGAAGACGAAATGAGAAAGGTACGATACCTAAGATGGCGACACGAAGTGCCACAACTTGATTTAGTAAAGACTGTCTTTGAAAAAGGTAAAGACTTAGACATCGATGGTCTAAATGCTCAAGACTTAAATGTTAATGATTCAGAGCCACGATTCAGAAGTGACAATGATAAAGATAATCAACTTAAATCAAGCGAATCATAATAAAATTTACGACTTTGCAGTAACTGAATATAAAACTGAGTGAAAAATCCTATAGCTATATCTAGACTATCTGCAGCTTTGATTTGCTCAATTATTTCCCATTGGAAAGATCATAATGATTCATCTAAATCTTCAGAACAATTATATGACCGACCGCGTCTTTTTGTTCTAAGTTAAAAATACAAAAGAACTTTTAAACAATTTTATAGTTAGTTCAGAGGGGAAATATATACTTAGGAGAAAATGTCCCTGACATATTATTATGTAACTTATGTGAAGATGAATTCTGTGCTGAAAAGATAAAGATAAAGATAAAAAAATACTCTTAACTACGGTGTTATTAATGGTTTCATAAAAACACAGTAGTATTGCTACACTTTATTTAGTAAGGACTAAATAAAGACAGCCGACATCAAATGTTTCCATAACTCTTGCGATTTGTGTACATAGCGACAATTTACCTACACTGCCCGCCAGACACTTTTGGAAACACTAGTATACGATTATGATATTCAGTTCCAAATGCGTTACAAAATATGGCACCATAAGTTGAAAACTACTGAAGTGTTGTGCTACGATTTATGTAATTACCTCATTAAGGTTTGAATTGCCTACAAACTGCAACAATAGAGCCGTACAAAGTACATTGAAATCAAAGCAATTAGCGTATTTATGAGTTATGTTGAAGTAAATAGTGATTAGCTTATTGTACTGTTTGATCTATTGATTGAAGTACTACTTCCAACACCTCCCTGACGATTTTTGACTAAGGAATGGACCATTAAAATCTAAGGGGGGGAGGGGGGAGCATAAATCCCCCAAAAATATCGAGTTTGCATTATACCACAAATTGATAATTTCTCGCGCTGATTGGCTATTTTTTTAGGCGAACGATTAGAGGACAGACACATACGCTGACGTCAACGAGCGCGAGCTGTTTTCATTGGTTGTTTTGATCACTAAAAAACGTCAACAAAAATTCGTATTAGTGAACGTTTTGTGGTAAAGGAACAAATCGAGGTCCCTTATCTATGGTCTGTATTCTTGTCGAACATGGAATGGCGTCACAGTATGGTAAACTTCTTTGAAGTGAGACCATTCGAAGCTGTCGTGGTTACACTTGAGTTGTATCMCATGCTGACGCCATTCCATGCTCGATAAGAGTACAGAACATAGAAAATGGACCTCGATTTGCTAACTTCACCTACGAAAACAATATTGCGCAACCTTTCGTTTCAGTAAAGAAATATCCAGCAATAACACAAAAAATGCTTGCAGGAGTTGTTACAAAAAATAAATATCGTGTAATATAAATTTCTGCAAACCCACTCCCCATCCCTAAGATTATAGCTTTGGTAAAACTCTTAACCAGCTCATACATAAATCTTTGAATCTCATTATTTCCTGCTTCAAATAATGGTTTAAAATCACTCAGAATTCGTAACAACAGGACATTTACATGTTGGCGTTATTTTACTACTACCACCAAAATGATTTGCGAATAATTTCCTTTGGGCATGTTGTCATAAAAAAAAAATTCTTTCCAAAACTTGTGGTCCAGCTCATCAACACTAACTTAGTATTTGGGGTGCCTGTGGAGAAAACAACTGGGCGATCGACTTTCCAGGCGTTCACTAGCTTTTTGCTCGCGCGCCTAGCACAACAAATCATCGCGCGCTTCGAATAATGACGTCATAAAACTTAATTAGAAAACTGCGCAACAATAATGCGTCTAAGAATTCTAAGTTGCCAAGAAATTTCTACTTAAAACCAAACTCAATGAGTAACCCTACTGTAGCACTCTAAACTTGCACCGTATGGATGGATTACCAGACGTTGTTCTTCTTAAGATTTTCTCCTTCTTGCCCATAGCCGACCTTGGCCGAGCATGCAGAGTGTGCTCACAATGGCAGAGAATAGCGTACGACCACACCTTATGGAAATCCGTCAATCTGCGACGATTTTCAAACAGCATGACAGAAGAGACGCTACAGAATCTAATAAGAACAAGATTTTCATCCCAGCTTGTTTCGCTCAACTTAGGAGGAAGTAAAGTCTCACACGAAGTTTTCATGGAACTCTCAAGAAAGTGTAAACACATTAAACACTTAGTTTTTGGAAGAGGATCCAAGCTCAAAAGTTCTTGCATGAAACGGCCAACAACGGTTGAGTTTCCTTCAGAGTTAGAACTCCTAGAACTTCGCCCCGTCAAGGGAGACTTCAGTTTTATACGGAGAATAAGTAGACACTTTTGTTCAATAAAATACCTTGGTATCGGAGTGATGACATCCAAGGGAAACATTCCTTATCTATTCACCAAGATGCAACAGCTTGTAATTCTCGACTGCACCAACTGCGACACATTCACAGACGATGTCCTATCAAAAGTAGCCCAGAACTGTCCTTTGCTCGAGTCCGTGTGCCTCAATGGATGCAAAAGTATTTACGGCTCAACTTTTTCGGAATTTCTCTCATGCTGTCCTCGCCTTAAGACGTTGCTCTTACGGTACACTCCGGTGCGCGATGAATGCTTTCAAGTCTATTCCTGGAACAATGTCCAGATAGAAGAAATTGACATATCTGCTTGTGCACAGCTAACGCAGATTGGTCTCATAAGTCTGGTCAGTAAGATGCAGAATATCAAGTACCTCAATTTGTCTTACTGTGGAGTCGGTCGTGCGGTTACTGATGCGGTTCTCCTCGAAATGGCATCTCGTCGCAGTTGCATGAAGCTCCAGATGTTAGACGTCCGTTGGAGTCTAACACTAACTCCAGATGCTTTATTTGCTTTGGCGCAGGCTGCACCGTCCTTAAAGTGCTTGGGTGTGTACCAGTCATCGAATATCACTCCCGCAGCGATGGCCGAAGTCTTGATAGCTTTGCCGCGCCTCGAGGTACTTGAATACGGAGCCTTCGGCAAAGCTGCTTTGTCAGATTCAATGTTTATCCCGAATCTTATCCAGTGCTGTAAATATCTCTCCTCGCTGTCACTGATCAACTTCGCTTCATTAGAAATCAATAGTGACACTATAGTCTTGAGCGCTTTAGCTGAAGGATGCCCATCTCTCAGAAGAATTAACTTATGCGAACCTGATCAGACTTTGCTTGCGCTGGTGCAACGAGCTCCAAGTCACACTAGAGCGAAAATCACCCAAAAGTGGCAATGTGTTCTACCACCTCCGATCCACACACTGGACACAGTTATCTCATCACTTCGTTATAACCACCCTTTATAATGATTCACTTATATTCGTCAAATTGTCTTTGAAGTTATAGTAATAAAATGCTGGTAAATTAATTTATTGTCTACACTTTTGTCTTGTTTCCCCCCCCCCCCCCCCCCCCCTACATATGGCTCATAATAAATGATGATGATCAGTGATTATGATAATGATGATGATGATGATATTAATAATAACGATGTAGACGATGATGATGATGGTGATGATATATTTAAATCTTATTAACTAATTGTGACTTTAGAATAAAAAACAAAAAACAAAAAAACAACAATTTTTCAGGTGAAAATAAAATGATACGCAAAACGAGCAATTTTCGGCYGTTAAACTGACTTTAAAATATTTTAGAAAATAAATGATGATGATCAGTGATTATGATAATGATGATGATGATGATACTAATAATAACGACGTAGACGATGATGATGATGGTGATGATATATTTAAATCTTATTAACTAATTGTGACTTTAGAATAAAAAACAAAAAACAAAAAAAAACAACAACAATTTTTCAGGTGAAAATAAAATGATACGCAAAACGAGCAATTTTCGGCCGTTAAACTGACTTTAAAATATTTTAGAAAGTAGCTCCGGCGAGCGTATTAGATAATGCCCTCTAGTACTCTGTGACTCGCAGTCAAGCGACTTTCATGGTCGTTCCGCAGACTTTCTTCCCTTTCACTCTCATTAATTCTTTCCCTTTCTTTTCGTTTCCTATAATTTTCAACTCGTGGATACGTGCAGTGTAGGAACGAGTTATTGTGAAGGTTTTGGATATGCATATGTGGCGTTAGTAGATTCACAGTGGTGTTAGCAGATTCTAAATTAGAGAAGAATTACGTAGAAAAATCATCGGAACGTATGTAAAAAAGTCATTCATGATAAAAAGGTCAAGCCGTCATTTACAAGGGCGGATGCAGGATTTTGTTCAGGGAGGGGTGCTGCACACAAAGTGGAACCAGGGAGGTGCGCACCCTTTGCACCCCTCACCCGGATCCGCCCCTGGTTTAGTAAGCATAACGCAGCGTTCTTGCCCGCGGAACGAAAGACGAGCATTGGGAACCCAATATCTCAAAAGTAGGATTCAGAGAAGGATATCCAATAGTTTGACATGCAGGAGTTTGATTTCCTCTTGTTTTTATTTTCCGTGCACCATTGACTGACGTTCACATTTGGGCTCCCTGTGTCCTCCAGCGGCTGTCCTTTCTCCGAGATGCGTACGCTTGTCATCGTCCGGCGGGAAGAAAGAAAATCCAAGATGGCGAGAGGTCGACCTAGCACTGGAAAAGGCCCAGGAAGAGGCGTAAAACACTCTAAAACATCTGCTTGGCAGTGGACTGAACACACCGAACCGAAGAAAATCACTAAAGAGAATTTAGAAWCAGCTTATTGTATTCATACAGCGCCTTGTGTGAGGGGAACGTGCAGGTTTGTGAGAAGTTGTTTTTCCTTTTTTCTTTCAAATTTCAGTCTTGACATGACGATTTAAAAAAAAACCTGATCGATAAAGAAATGTTTAGCTTAACATTTAGGCATTTACTACGTTCTTCTTCAGTTTTGTATTTTTAATACTCTACGTTTGAATTAACTCTGCCCTGTCTTAGATCACTTTATAGACCCAACGACAATATTCGATAATATTCCGATGATCGATGTTTATATCAATGAAATGATTTGCCATTTGGGCCATCAATAATGACCGCTTCATGAGTTACAGGAATTCAGACCAATAACTTTGATAAGGTCAATGAAATATCAAAGTGGATTTTGTTGGTTATTGATTTTTATTGATTACTGATAACAATCGATATTTATCAACCGATGATTATCAATTCTATCGATAGTTTTTTAATGATAGATTTGCATTGATTGGCATCATCAGGACTTAGATCAGCTCAAAGGTTGTTGCAGGTCTCAATCTGTGAGTTAGCCATGCCCTGACTTAGATCAGCCCAGAGGTTGTTGCAGGTCTCAATCTGTGAGTTAGCCATGCCCTGACTTAGATCAGCTCAAAGGTCGTTGCAGGTCTCAATCTGTGAGTTAGCCATGCCCTGACTTAGATCAGCCCAGAGGTTGTTGCAGGGCTCTATCTGTGAGTTAGCTCCGACTTAGATCAGCCGAAGGGTTGTTCCAGGGGTTAATCTGTGATTTAGCTCTAACACTTATTTGTGCTCTTTGTAGGATAAATTGCAAATTCAATCCTAACTGTCTCAATGGACTTGGTGAAAAATTATGGTTGGGGGAAATCCAAGGTAAGACTTAAAAAGTACATTCAGCTCTCGTTACATTGGACACCCTCGTGACGCTCACTTGGTGTCCGTTATAGCCAGCATCCTCAATAGCAAGAATTATTTACGGCCATTTCTTGTATTTTTGTCAGGGATTTTTCTCTTTTCTGTAATAACAAGATGTCCTTGGCCTATAAGTGTGAAAGTTATTTTGGGAAATTTTTTCATTTTCAGATATAAAGCTGCTGTATTTTTTAAATCATTAAACATTATTCTGTCTGTCATCTTTTTACAGATAATTACTGGCATAACCTAGAGGACCCTGAGTTGGAGAAAAGAGCACAGGTAATGTGGAATTATAGTAAAAAGAGCAATTCTGATAGAGTGCAAGGGTGTAATTAAAAATACATAAATCTCTTAATTTAAATGTAATTGTCTAGTTGTTCTAGTGTTTTCACATTCAATATTATATGCACACAACACTCTACTCACAGCGCATAAAACTTTTTGGCCTAAAATCGCACTAGATGATGCCTGTTGGTGGTGGTAATGTTCTAATTAGACATTCTAGTGTGCAGTGCAGATGGTACAGTGCAGATCAATATTTTTTTGTTTGGTGGGATGATAAAAAAGTTATTTATAATCTAAGAATGTTATTACATTATGTTTTTCTTGGAACTAGCTTTCAAAAACCAGTTTTACTACAGTAGAAAATTTAACCTAGAGTATGGATTAAGTAATGTTAGAAGTCCAAAATGTGTACACTTCAAGCCTTTCTCCTGAAATATTTGTACTCAACATTATTGTAGTTGAATAATAAGCTTGAATATTACATGAATAAAAGCCCACTGACATCCTTTTTTATTTTGTGTTGTAAAAAAATAAATAACAAGGAATTACATACTGTAGATCTAGATTGGTAAATTTTTTCTTGAGATATTTTCTTCCTGACCTCTTTGCTTGTTCTATTGTAGGATGCTTTTGTAGGATTAAAAAACCTTGGTGCTACTTGTTATGTCAATACTTTCCTTCAGGTAAGGAAATAAATTGCTAATACTCTGTTGACACACTAATGGGACTACTTGGAAAGTCAACCAATCTTGGCATAAAGTGGAAACAAACAAATCAAACTTAAAACTTAGATGTTATCAGCAACCGTGGGAATGAGAGATTGTGATTGGCTGAGGTCGATATATTCTCTCCTGATTGGCTATAGTTTTTAATCTCAATTCTCGTTAAAGTGGTCCTGGTTAGTATGTCCGCACTGTAATAAGCAATTTTCAATTTATTAAAATAGAAAAAGACTGAACTGTTAGGAAAAGCATGACCCATAGCTTCGTGTTCTGCCAATCCCAAATGCTGTGTCCTGTTCTCACACACAGCACAGCAAGCATTTTTTTCTATTTCTTTCGTATTGACATAATTTGCAACTTTTAAAATGCCTTTTTTATTTAGGTATGATAAAATTCTCATTAGGTCGGGCCGTATGGGAAAATATTTGGCTCTCGGTCATTTGTACAGCACCACCTCGAGCGAAATATTTTCCCATCGGCCCTCCCACTTATTCAATAAGTACTTATTATTTGATAAATTACTTTGCTGTTATCTCTCATTAAGCGTGCACTCCCAACCAATCAGAACATGAGATTTATAACAGTTGTTATAAACTACCTTAATCAATCGGCAGCCACTCGTATGTGAAATTATCAACATTTTTGTATCTATCGCCTGTAACATAGAATGCATATAATTTATTGTTATTAAACATACATTTAATGCATTATTTTCTACATATCTCTGATCCATACATGTAGCTGTGGTTCCACAATACAAGACTCAGGTGGGCTTTRTACCACTGGACTAATCTTGACGCTGATGTTAATAAGGATGACAAAGAAAATGGTGGTAAGCAAGAAAATTTATAAAGTTATAAAATATTTTAAGTTTTGGCTGTTGTATCACAGTGTTTGGCAATCATGACAGAGCCTGGCTCCAGCTGTAAAAGTGAAAGCCCAATGATTAAATGAAAATCTAGAAGTTGATTTTTCAGGATCTACGAAATCCAGAGAATAAACCTGGCTTGAAGCACATGAGAGAGATAACAAACAACTCTACTTGCATACAGTACAACACCAATGCAAGCCCTTGATTCAAACCATGGCTGCATTGGTGAGAAGTGGCCTGTTAATGCCGCACAACACCCATGCTTTGAGTCTTCCCACCAAAAATGTGCTGTGAATCTGCAAAAATCCCACTGACAACCAGACATCACCTCTTTGACAACCTCCAGATACAACATAGTTAACCTACATGTACAGTGTACCAACATCCTATCATTAACCTACCAACAACCTAACACCCTGCCTATATAACATAAATCACCCGTACCAATATCATACCAAATTAATGTGAAGCATGGGTAGCTTGGGAAGTGGGGGTGGCGTGGAGGTGAGAGTGCTTGCCTCTCGCCAAGGCGACCCGGATTGGAGTCCTGCTGGGCTCGGTCTCATGTGAGTAGATGGTATAGTTATTTGTTGGCTCTCTCCTGTGCCACAAGGGTTTTTTCTCCAGTTCCTCCGATTTTTCCTCCCTCCATAAAAATCAACTTATAAATTCTAATTCGATCTATCTGTAACCTCATAAAGTGGGTGGTAAAATCTGTTAAGGCCAGTTTAGACGGTACAATTTTCGCCTACAACTATCGTATAAAACACGCTTGCATCATGACACCTACGATTGTCGTAGCTTTTTAAGATATGTCTTAAAATCCTACAATTTTTTTGTGTTGCATTCGTCTGTCGTAGGCGAGTTGTAGGCTTGATTTACAAGCTACAACTCGAGTTGTAGGATGGAGGGAGCGTGTTGTATACGATAGTTGTAGGCGAAAATTGTACCGTCTAAACTGGCCTTTAGGCTTTCTGTCCACCATGGTGTGGTAAATCCAGTATTTTTTTCTTTTTTTTTATATTAGATTTTTACTAATTCACCCTTTGACACATTCTCTACCAGTTATTATACTATTAAAACTATAATTTGAAATATCCCTAACCTTATTTCTAAAGGTGCCAATAACTCTGAAAATAAAGAAACCATGCAGACAGATGATAAAACTCCAGCCGATGAAGAGTCACCATCAACGAAGAAGAATGAACCTCTAGAAGAAGACAAGGCTGTTGGTAATGCGCCAGCAAAGAAAATGCCACCGTTGCTACCATCAAGTTGTATAAGCACAGAAGACTCAGACAGTTTTATTAATATATGTGCACACCTTCAGCTCATCTTTGCACAGTTACAGTACAGTTCTAGAAGGTACATTTGGGCTATAGTTCCCTTACATGTGACGCAAAGGCTCAGTTTGGATGCTGAATTATTTTATTGAAAGGCATGGCTGTTACTTAGAATAACAGGAGATTTATTCTTCGTAGTGCACAGCAATAAAGCTATCCCCCCTCTCCCTATCCACCCTTAGCTCTCTCTCCACACTATGAAGCAAGATCATTATAAGATATTCTTCTTCTTTATTATCATATTATCATACTAAATCACTTATTCCTCGGCAGGTATATAGATCCTACATCATTAATACACAGTTTAGGCCTGGACACAGCACAACAGCAGGTAAGGATGCAAAAATCACACAATAATATTGTAATTTTATTATAGGAATTTTATTTTATTTATTATCATCAACTTTCTCAGTGATGTTTTATACAGGATGTTTTACTGCCCCAGAAAAGTTTTGTATGTTTAATAATAATGCCTCCTTTGATCTCACACTCATTAGCATATTGGGAGTATAAACCTTGATATCTTCAAGTTGCACCACTCGAATCATGTAAAAGAATATTTCACCATTCAACTATTCACCTCATGTAGAATCAATACTGAAAATGTAGAGTTAGGCTTTATAGGCACTTTAATATTTATTCTACTTTTAGTTATACAATATGTACACGTATAAATAAATCACTTTTATTTAAGTGTCTAGTTGTTCTAGGGCTTTCGCACTAATTGGGGACACTTTTGGCTCACACGCACTGCCACTAAATTCAATATTCTATGCACACAATGCTCAGCTCACATGTTGATTTTTATGGAGGGAGGAAATAGGAAAACTTGGAGAAAACCCTCATAGCATAGGAGAGAACAACACTTCAAAGAAATGTGGCGACCGCATGGCTCGAAACAGCGATCCGACCCGTTAGACTTTCAGTGGTGAAAGACAACACATTAGCTGTGCACGCCACCCATGCTAGTCATGCTACTATGTATATATTATTTTGTTAATTACAGGATGCTCAAGAATTTAGTAAGCTCTTCATGTCTTTGCTTGAATCAACATTATCTGAACAGGTACATGTATGTAGATGTACATGGCTTGATGGGATTTCTGTGGGTAAACATATAAACTTATAAACTCAAACTTGTTACTTATTTTACAACCACCACTTCCAGTACAGGCGGGCTCTTCCTTGAGGTTCCCTGCACATGTACTACCACTACATTCTATATTTACAACATACRACACTCAATTCACATGTTGAGTTTTACAGAGGGAGGAAACCGGAGAAACTGGAGAAATCCCTTGTGGCAAGGGAAAGAACGACACATCAAACAAACTCAACTATAGCGGTTAGAGGCAAGCAGCAAACCACTAACGCCACCCATGCCTGTCCTGTAGACCAATGAAATGCCATGAAGATGTACTTTACCTAATTATTTTGTTATTTTCTATTTTTTCAAAGCCAAATCCTGAAGTCAGGGAAGTGATTCAGAATCAGTTTGGTGGAACATATTTTTATGTCACAAAGTGAGTATGATGTTCTTCTTTGATTGTATATTGTGAATAGTATGGGAAGTTTGGTTAGGTTTATTGTTTGTAAATCAGCATGGTAGATCCCATCACCACCGTACAATGACAGGCAACACTGTCTGCCAACCAGAGGGTATTCTATTGCTTGGTATCAWTCAGCTGAATGTATCTCATGAATCTCATTACCAACCTACGATAAGCAAACACTGCTCGTCATGTTCTATCAACCAGAGAGTATTCTATTGCTTGGTATCAATTAGCTAAATGAATATCATGAATCTCATTACCAGCCTACAATGACAGGCAAACACTGCCCGTCATGTGCTATCAACCAGAGAGTATTCTTTTGCTTGGTATCAATCAACTAAATGAATCTCATGAATCTCATTACCAGCCTACAATGACAGGCAAACACTGCCCGTCATGTGCTATCAACCAGAGAGTATTCTATTGCTTGGTATC